CACCAAGTCGCTGCGATCGAATAAAGCTCAAGCTTTATTCGGCCCTAGCGACTTGGTGCACCTGGCATTTATTAAGACATGCCATTTGCCATTTAAAAATGGCAATGGCAGTCTGAATGCCAGGTGTTTGTAGTAAAATAGGTTTAAATATTTTCTCATTACCCTGCTTTAACGATTTTATGATCTATATGATCTATTCTATCCTGATGGGGGAAAATGAGATTAGTTCATGACCCCGTACACTCTTCCCTGAAAGGGAAGAGCGGGAACGAATTGAACAAATCTGATCTACTAACAGATTTCCGAGTCCGCCTTTAGGCGGATTCGGACCCTGTCTTTGGCCTATTTGCTTTGTGCTGATGGTAGTTTTGTTAAAACAAGCCCCGATTGGCGCATCATGATGGTCCAATCGGGGTTATTCTTTGTACAGAACACCTGCTTGCCAAGCTCCATCTAACGATGGAGTATCCCGGGCAAGCAGGTGCACCCAGTCTGCTAGGGCCGAATAAAGCTTAAGCTTTATTCGATCGCAGCGACTGGGTGTTTCAATTTCACGTAAATCATTACCTATTTTACAATCCCTGTTTAAAGTGAGTATACACATTATGCCATCAATGATGCTTCATAAAATTGGCCTTTAAAATCTTCGACTGACAAAATAGCCCGAAGGGCCCAAAACCAAGTCTATCTGTTGTGCACTTTCTTTAGGAAGCCCCCAAAATCCACCACACCCGGTCCATTAGACCGGACCGGCTGGTTCCGAGTATACCACTTTAGTGTACCCAATTGCCGATCAGTACAGAGTACTGACCATCAATGGGCTCGGGCCCTTCAGGCCTTGGCAATATAAACAAAAATGACAGACACATTAATGCCAAACCTATACAGAGGGCAAGACTGTAGCATAATCGGTTAATGCAATCTGCTCATAATAGATGAGATATGGGTTCAAGTCCCGTCGGTCTTATTCTCAATACTTAAGCCAATTTGAGTCGACTCTGGTCACTTCGTGCCAGGTCTTATCATTTTCCAAGGGCTTCTTAAGGAATCCGCTAAAATTTATTTTCTGACCGAAGGGCCTACGGCCTTGGCGGCCATCAGGTGGCTTCTCACAGCCCATAAAATTTTGGGAATACTGCAGCGTATGTCAATCTTTAGAGCGATGAAATTGCTCAGTAGATAGTCAAGAGCAGCAGTATACCGAAATCAAGGGATTCCCTCTAAATCAGATTAGATTTATATTTCACCTCTTGAAACAAAACCTTAAAATCGCTGAAATAGTTTAAGTGGTTAAAACTCATCGCTCATGTCGGTGTAATAAGGGTTCAATTCCTTTTTTCGGCTCGTAAATTATAACCTCACTCCTTGTGGGGACACAGTCCCCACCCATCAGAAGATGGAGGTACTTCGTACCTCCACCTTCGAATGGGGGGGCAGTGGTTGATTTTGGTTTACCAAAATTTTAGGTTATAAATATGCAAAAATTTTATCTAACAAAAGGGAGACGATCCCTATTTGTTCTCCCTGAAAATTTAAAATCTATCCTTGTTGGTCTTATACTCGGAGATTTGTATATCTTTAAAAGTGCAAAATCAGTAAACGCTGGATTGCGTTTCGAACAAGGCCTTGTTCATAAGGATTACCTGGTTCACTTGTACGATTTATTTAAAACTTACCCCCCTGAGCCCTTGGACACCATGGCCCGGGGGAAAGAAATCCAGTGGATTTTTTAATTCGTTCCCCGTACCTCTTCAGGGTCGATTTCAGACCCCGTATACTCTTCCCTGAAAGGGAAGAGCGGGGATGAAATCGATCGTAGCAGAGGTCGGGTAGTAAACAAGGTCCTAAAATAAAAAAACAGAACAATAGGTGGGAAAAACTATAGTAGTATATTATTTAATACTTCCTCCTTGCCATGCTTTACCGAGTTTTTGGGTCCGAATCCGCCTTAAGGCGGACTCGGAAATCTATTCTACCAAAAAAATAATTCCATCTAACATGGCTGAGTTACTTACAGTTTTGTCTTTAAGCTATTGGCTATGCGATGATGGTTGTTTTTGTAAAGCAAGCTCCGATTGGCGCATCATGATGGTCCAATCGGAGTTATTCTTTGTACAGAACACCTGCTTGTTGAGAGTTGCTGCAGCTGCCTTAGTTATTAACTGTCAAATCACAAGCTTTAGCTTGTGACTCAA